AAGCCAATCCCATGCAGCTTTCTTTCATACCACACCATGCATGCACTGACCACCTCTCCGCTTCTTCCAACCAGTCCCAGAGTCGGCAAATAATGCACGACGTGGAATTCTCTGGGACGACATTCGAAGAACATGTCCAAGCCACCGAAGTCGGTGTTTCAAGATGGTGACATCAATTGAACCATCATCTCTGTGCCCGAATACACGACACAGAACCTCTGCATTACTGACATGGTGTTGCCACTGAATGTCAGCAATCCTTCGGAGACAGCGATGATCGAACACAGAGAGTCGTCTAACGTCCTCAACTCGGAGAGACCAGGTTTCACAAGCATAGAGCAAGACTGCCCTCACCGACGCGTTGTAGATCCGGCCTTTTACAGCCAGACTAACATCACGAAGGCGCCAAAGGTGGCCCAGATTGGCATAAGCCGCTCTGGCTTTCACTATACGTGCATTGATCTCATCACTCACACCCCCACCAGCACTTATGCAGCTACCCAGATACACGAACTTCTCGACTACTTCTATCTGCTCACCATCCAGGGTGAGTACAGGATTAGAATCCTGCCAGTCTTGTAGAAGTACTTTGCACTTCGAAGGTGCAAAGCACATACCATACCTACGGACACTGATTGCCAACTGATTAAGTGCGGATTGCATGCCTTGGGCATTATCGCACAGTAAGACAATATCGTCCGCATACTCAAGGTCGAGAAGTCTTTCTCCAGGCAACAGATCCACACCACCATTACTTACATTCATCAGGGCTGTTTCCAGAATGTCATCGATGGCAAAGTTGAAGAGGAATGGTGAGATTGGGCAACCCTGCCTAACCCCACTGCTCGAATGGAACAATGAAGAGAGATGGTTGTATGCCCTCACTCTGCTTGAGGTGTTTTTATACAGGGCTTTTAGGATGTCAATAAACTTCTCAGACACACCCTTCTTCAATAGACAATCCCAGAGAACAGTCCTATCCAACGAATCGAAGGCAGCCCTGATGTCAAGAAACACTACGATTGTTGGCCTTTGAAAAGTATGGCGGTGTTCTAACATTTGGCGGAGGGTGAAGATATGATCAATACATCCTCGACCAGAACGAAACCCAGCCTGCTCCTCGCGAGTCAATCTTTCTCGGGTTTTGAACAACCTACGAAGTATGACGGAAGCCAATAGCTTGGACGCAATCGGAAGTAAACTTATCCCCCGATAGTTGTTACAAGAACGACGTGAACCCTTTTTAAAGATTGGGACAACTATCGACTCATTCCATGACGTTGGTACACTCTCTAGTTCCCAGACTTTTGTAAACAAAGTCATTAGTTCTTTAGCCGGAAAGTCACCACTATCTTTAAAAAGAGCCGGAGGTAAGTCATCCGGGCCAGGTGATTCGTAACGCTTCAAGAGTTGGAGTTCCTTGCGGACTTCCTCCTCATTTGGTGGATCAGTCGTCACCGACCATGGAGAGCAGGACAGTCTGACCGATGTTGCCGGAGCAGCAGGCCAGTTGAACTGCCCTTCGAAAAATTCTGCCCATCGTCCAAGACGTCGATGGATGTTAGTGATTGGCATCCCATCATCCTCGCAGATTGTTTCACTCACACCAGACTTCTTGCTGCCAGTGGCTCGGATGAGTTGGAAGAGCTTCCGGTAGTTACCAGATGCAGCTACTGCCTTCAGCTCATTAGCACGCACCGACCACCAGGCTTCTCGGTCCTTACGTAAGCTTTGCCCAATTTCAATACGTAATATCTTTCGTTTATGGTCAAACTCACGGTCACGCGGAGTAGACCGACGGGCTTCAATGAGTTGTAAGGAACCAGAAGAAACCCAGTGCTTAAAAGCGGGACGTTTCGCAAACCCACAACTGACTGTTCCCGCCATTTTCATGGCGTCATGCAATTGCAACCAATGCTCATCTATACTTTTCGGTGGAGTGGTAGCTAGCCTAGAGGCTAGCTCGGTTCGATACTTACTTGCAACAGAAGTTGCAACCAGCTTGCTAACATAAATCCGTTGATGGCGTTCACTTCGTTGTCCACTGAAAAGTAAGGCAAGATTGGCGCAGACCAAGGCATGGTCAGAGTCCAGATAGGTACTCCAAAAGGAGCGGCAGTCTTGTACACAACCACGCCAGCGATAGCTGATCGCGATGTGATCAATCTGAGTCCAGGCTTGAGATGCAGAGAGAGGACGCCAGGTGGCACATCGACGATGACTGTGCCGAAAGTTAGTGCTAGCCAGAAACAGGTTGTGGTCTGGGCAGTTGCAGTAGACGGTCCCCGTTATCTGTCCTGCGACCAACAAGTCCCCATCGACCACCTAAACGACTCTCTTCTGTGCCTAGACGCCCGACCTGAGCATTCAAGTCTCCGGCTAGTACTACAATATCTGTCGAACGCACTTTCTGGAGAAGAACTGATAACTGGTGGTAAAACTCATCCTTGATTGCATCCGGGCTGCAATCTGTCGGGGCATAGGCGGAGATGACGAAAAGACATCGTTTCTCACGCCGATTTCTTCTCACTTTGATGGAACTTTCTAATCTAACAGCACATAACCGACTGTTAATGGGGATCCAATCGACTAGTGCTGCCTCAGCTCTAGCGCTCAGTGCGACACCAACGCCAGCAAGACCAGACGAAGATGCCACAGGGTCCCCGGATAAGCGCACGTAAAACAAGCTTTTCGAAGCGACAGACGGAGATCGAATTTGTAGTACTTCGCCAGAGTCTTGAGTACGGGTCTCGGATAGACAACACACGTCGATATTAAGACTTTCCAAAGACATAGCCAGCCCTATCTGTTGTCCGACCTGCATAAATGTGCGAACGTTGAAGGCAGCCAGTTTGAATGGTGCACGTGGTTTCAGAAAATCTGCTTCAGTCCTCGTATTCGGTGGTAACATACAATTTTCAACCGGACAGTGACTCGAGAACGTTTAGATACAGTCGGATTTCCACCAAAGACGAGCCGCTGTATAAGTATAAAAGAGGGTGAATAATGTGGAAAATAATAATAATAATGATAATAATAACAATAATGACAATAATAGTAGTAATAATAATATTGGTATTAATAATGACAATAATTGTAATGATAATAATCTGAATCAATTGTTTGTTTTTCAAAGCGAGAAAGGTAATTTCCATAGGCATAAAGAGTTCATCAATTTGTGTGTGGGCTGTGATACTGCCCGGGTGCCCAAACCGAAGCAGGTGGTTATCTTAGGGGGCCACTCCCCGAGCCTTTGACCTAAAGGTCTAACCCACAAGGCAGTGGAGCATCGTAAGGAGATGCAGTCCCACGGTAGCCGGTGACCAACGATTGGTTCATACGCCATTCGTTCCCGCAGGATACTGGAGCCCATGTGCACCATTGATTTGGGATCCGGTTTAAGCACCGGACATTCGCTTTTCGCCTTTTCATTTTCGTAAACAACACCCCCGCCACGAGAAGGCAATGAGTAGGAGTTCCCTGGCAGAGGCTGTATACGTGTGGCCGTGTGAGAGTATTTCGAGAGGGAGAGTGGACTCTCCCCACTCTCGGCCGTACCAGGGCATTTGGGGAGAAATGGCGTATAAGCCCACGGTTGATCACCTGCTACCATGAGACTTTATCTTCTAACGTTGCCCCACTGTCTTTTAGACTAGGTTTCTAGGTCAAAGGCTCGGAGACCGGCTCCCTAAGAAAACCACTTGCTTCTGTTTGGGCACTCAGATAGTATCGCAGCTCACAAACAAATTCCATAATTTGTGCGGTGCATACATATTTTACTTCCTCTTTGCATCAATATTTATTTGTTCAAATAATGATAATAAAATTAGAACGAAGCCAGTCAGTAATAATCAACATAGAACTTGGCACATATTTGTATTAGCTCAAGTTGTCATATTGTATCATAACGATGGGATCAAAGTAGCAAGATGAGTAACCAAATAATCGAAACGATGTAGCAGCAATGATAATGAGAACAAGGAGATATTGAGAAAATGATTGGAAAAGACAGAGTAAAAGTGTATATATGAAGGAATTTCGAAACTCAACATCTAGAGGGACATGAAGAGTGAAAGCATCTGCCCAATCATGACCAATTCTAAGGTATGCCACCCCATGTCTCTAGCCACTGATTACAATTATTTCATAGACTACAACCAGATGGTAGTTCGAATACTATCAACATGATTTAGACCATTGGTCAGCAACTTTACAGACTGACCCTATGCTTCGGTTTGGCTGCCCCTACCTTTCTACCAGCTTATCCTTACACTAGCTAACATTTCTCACCGACGTAGGTTGGGCATAAGTGACACGTGCATTGTATCAGTGTCCTTACCAGGTAGGGTTACGTTATTTGTGTATACTGATGACTAGCCTCCTAGTGTGAGCGTTGGGGAGATCCGGAAAACCCGTAAAAAAAGACAAACAAGGCTCTGAAAACATTGAGAAGCGTCTTATCCAATCAGTATTCAATAGGAGTTTTATCAGAAACACCTAGAAAGTGAAGTCACATGTCGAGTTTCTGATTGGGTGGTTATACATACAGCTACTATGTTTAGTAGCGTTCCAGAATTCTCCGGAAACACAAAGCCATCTAAAATACTATAAAAACCCTAGATTTTCTGTACATTAACGAATCTTTTTGGAGTAAAGCGGTTCTTTCATATTTTGCGCCTTTCCTCTCGTGTTCAAGTCACTGAGTAGATTTAGACTGGGTGTTACTGGAAGACCTTAGGAACCGAATCTAGCGTTCAATTAGAAGACTTACCAGTGAGACCGATCGCTGAAAAGCCAGGAGAAAAAAAATTCCAGTGGATCATCTACAGTTTAGTACAAACATAAAAGGAGATAGTGGGAAACCCACAGAAAAACCACCTGAGTTTAACAGTTCTAATAACCATTAACAATTAACTCTGACTGGACCTAATAGTAAACGGTACATAACTTTGTTTTCAACGAACAAAAAAAAGCAAATCAACGTGTTATTTTTAACTTACCAAATTAAACCATTGAAAATATTTTCAATACAGAAATAAGATGATGTAACGAAAATAAGCAGTGTAACATGAGTCCATCCAAACTATAATTCGTACAAAAAACAAAATAAAAGCATAATTTTGCAAAGAACGAATTAACAAATTAAGATTACGAGTTGATCTTCATGAGACAATTATGAAAAATTAGATAGCACTGAACAACCGTTGCATCCTGGCATGAAACTCCCCCTTAGAAGTATGTATCAATGTTCTCACCAAAGGGAATAGAACCCAACATTTAAAAATTTTTCAGAAAGTTTCATCACTGTACCAATATACCGATGCTCTTAATACTGAAAATTATTTTATGCTCATTAAAGACTAATTCCGAGAGGTAATTCCCGCAATTCTTATAAGAAGACGTAACCGGTAGAAGTTCAACCATATCAAGTGTGCAGCAGTTATTCATCGATAGCATTAGATGACTGGGTAATATCCCGAATTGATTGGAGTTAGAAATGTACATCATTGGGTGGTGACTCAATGGGTCAAAGGTTAAGGGATCGCCGTGAAACCTAGAGAATCTGGATCTGATCCTCTTCGGTGAGGTCACAGATGTGCACTGTTGAGTCCCACACCAGGACGAAACATCCGTAAAATGTTTCCTTCCTTTCAATGGTTACTTAACTGTGGTTTATTTGTGATCTCAGTCATATCTAACGGTCTCCAAAAGCCTCTTATACAGACAAAAAAATATAGTCATATTCAACAATAAATGAACTACCTAATTAGTTACAAAGTGTAACCCTACTGTTCTTCCTAATTAAGTTGAGGTAACCATGATGTGGTATCATCACGAGCTCTTGCAGAAATTAGCATAACTCAACACCAAGAACACATTCAAGCCATATTATTTACTTATTCTAAGGAGAAAGAGAGAAACAGTTCCAGTTTAAGAAATTATAGGACAACAATTGATATGGTTTTACAGGAGACTATCAACTTTTAAGAAGAATAATCATTGACACTGACAAAATCAAATTATACCATTTGCATTTTTGTAATTCGTTGGGGTCCTTTTTCTCTACAGAAATCAAGACATTTATTTGAAGGTGTTTTATGGAGATTAGCTTAATTTATTGGTATTATTCGTTATATATTGATTGATCTAAATTAGATCGGCTCATAATTCCAATGAAATTCACAACCTCATACCAAATTTTTTCCATGATAATCAATGATACCTTATGATTAACTCTACCTCTATATAAGACATGTTAAACTTCCATAAAATTGTCTAGAGAGCAAAAACAGGAAATGAGACTAAACAGATTGACCATATTATCTTAAATGGAAAATGACAATATATGAAGGAGACTTTTTAATAATGACTGAAGATTTAAACTTGAGAGGGGAAACATTATAAAAATGGGTGGATATAGTTGTTTTGTTTTGATTTGGAATTCTTTAGCAACAGCGTGCACTTACGACATTCTGCCAAGATTTGAAGTTACTACCTACAGGTTTCACAGAGAAAAAATGTGTGTATGTGATTTTGAATTCATTTACTAGATACAGATTCGTGTAATTGGTTTCTAGTTACATATTAAGTGTAAAAGGCTAGTGTTAGTATACACTTATCGAGACCGAAAAAGGTCAAGCAGGGTTCTGAACTGTGAGTTTTAGTAACTAAACATCAAACATTTTAACCACTGAAAATCGCTATTTCAGTTTTAGACTATGGTTTAATATTTCCATTTAAGGTTTCAATATAGTAATATAGCACAACTGTCACACTAATTACCGTCTATGAATAAATAAATACATTAGTAGATTAATATTTACTTACCAAAGTAAACTGTTTAATATAATGCCTTTTAACTAAACTTAGAACAAATGCAACAATCCCAGCACAATATAATGAAAATGAAATAAACTGATGATGAGTTATCCATGGTTGTAGAAAATCCTAATTGATCAAAAAAAAACAGGAACAGAATAAACAACAAAATGGAAACGGTTGTACGTCTCTACTTGTGTGTATATATTTTTCCTATTAGAAAAATCTACGCATACATAAGCACGTGTGTATGTGTTGTTTCAAATGATTTGTCATTTTTCTGGGTTTTTTTTAATCAGTATAAGGTTGTGTAGATTGTTGAGTTTTATTGAAACCATGATCCAATCAACCTTAAACTACCATTGACCAACCTCAAAGCACTGAACAGCTGTTTCGTTCTAGTATGGGACTCCTCAGCAAGTGTGCATTTACGACCCACATGCGAGAATCGAACAAATGACCTTCTGTTTTGTGTGTGGACGATTAACCTTTAGACCACTGAGTCGGCATTCAATGGTGTTAATGCCTAACTTCAATCAATCCATGATATAGTAAGCCCATCTTTCATTGTCTTTGGTGGGTAACTGCATCATACCTGACATTGTTTAACTCCACTGGTCACGTCTGTTCATTAGGACTCCGAGAATTCTCTCTTGAGGCTAGTCACTAGTGAGTATATGATAATTATCAGTATAGGGTTGTGGAGATTGTTATTTAATAAGTGAGTTGCTGGATAATAGTATGACTTTTCTTTTTTTCCTCTAACAAAAAACTCATGTTAAGTGTCTAGAGTTGTGTTACAATTGTCTGATAAGTACATGTATCAATAGCGTAGTGAAATCCGACATACTCGATGACAAAAGAAAGTACATAATTACAGTAAACTATAAGGCTTGACACGAAAATATTTCTTTTTTTAATTATACATACACTTTAATTGGAAGCGCCCACTCACTGAATGAAGCTTGTAAAATACTAACATTTCGCTTTATCCCTAGGTTATTATATAAACCATAAGCTTTCGTTTGATTCACTGCCATACTCTTTTGCGTTCCAAATTTATTGTAATTTAAACATAGCCTTTGTTACTCTATTTTCCTACCGTAATCCCCAGTTTTGGACATAATTGTATTTTTCCTAATCTGAACCGGAACCAGATCGGAGTGCGAATCGGAACTGGGAATAAACCGAGTAGTGTTTCAGTCGTCCTGTCTTCTCTCTCTCTCGTGCGCGCTTGTCAACCAATCAGGTGATAAAATAGTTTTCGTCTCTCTACACAAGGCAGTTAGTCTCAATTCCAATTCACGAGATTCTAGCCTCAAGGTTAAACCACACAGCTTATCGTGTCAAGGTCTTAATCTAGATTGAGACGAGTTATCTTCTTTATATTGGTGGGTAGACAAATCAAGGACGTAACAACCGCAAACGTCTTTATACAATTTCATCGTACCTACCGGTAGAGTATATCGAACATTCTTTTAAGGAGTAGAACTTCAAATATGTCAGTTAATATTTTTTCAAACTTATATGTTTACGCTTTAATAATAGCAAACCTAGACACTGAAACTATGATGATTTTATCGAATATAAAGCACATACCATTGAATTACACTTTCCTTCCACCTCTCGTCTACAAAAAAGCGTTTAGTTCAAAATGCTGTCTAAATTGTGAACAACCCTAACGTTAAACTCAACAATCAATGACTAATGACCTCATCACACATACATGAGTAGAGGAGCATCAACAAAGTATCTGTGATCGTCTTGATGTGATCTACTTTTTTAATGGTTCAACTTCATATTTATAAAATAGGTTAAAGGAAAGTTATAAACAGTATTGTCGATCAAAGATTTGATTTATCTACCATGTACAAGATGAATTACTCTACTCTGTGCTACACAATATGTTGCTTGTCTGATAACAAAAGCAACAAAAAAGGAACTGGATAGATCGGATTTTCAACATATGATTAAATGCCTGAAAATTGATTAATTTATCCGATAAGCTGTAGTTCATATTACTTCAGAACAATGTTAAACGATAATCCATAAAAACCTGAGATAATTTACGTCATAAAATCTAAAACAAATTTGTGACATTATCTGATTTACTGTAAGGTGTTTCCTATCTTTTTAAGTATAAATTTTCGGCACAATTCATGGATATGGAAGATCCACTTAGAGAAGTTGGAAAACACTGATTCCAAATCAATGGTGTACATGGGTTCCAATATCCTGAGTAAACAAACCGTGTATGAACCTATTGTTGGTCATAGGCTACCATGGGACTGTACCTCCTTACGTTGCTTCACTGCCTTGTGGACTGACGAACCGACTTATGAACCTAATTGATAATGGATTGATTAGTTATAAGAAGTATTATTCTGAAAATGATCCGGTGTGAAGATATAAGGTAACTATTAAGAATAAAATCTGTACTATGTGAATAATTTACTTTTACGGTTCTAAGAGGAACGAAACAATATGAAACAGCTTATATCATAAATCAGACTTAAACTGACGAAAAGTAGGGAGCAATAAATATTTGTTTCATATCGGCCTGAAACTGCCTTAACAGTGTGAACAACTATAACTGTGGCTGAGATTAAATCTGCGACTTTCAGATTTCGAGGTGAGCATGTCATCGCTGAGTCAGTAAATTATTAGTGTATATTACCACAGTGTAGTATGATGGTCATCCAACGTTACAGTTTTAATATCACAATTAAACTTCAATCTACCAGTCATGAACTTCTTCGAAGTTACCTATTAGTTGACTGAATGTTAAGATTTTTTAGATTTTTTCATCATCAAAGACTAACTGCATCTGGAAAACCAGTGTTTAACCTATAACGTTTCGACCACTGGTCTAAATAATTTATAATCAGCTAAGGTCCAGATAATTCATTGGTATTGCCTCACACTGTGAAACTGCGTTACCCAAGTCCCCATCCTGCATAGAAGCATCATTCGCTGAGAAGTTGCGAGTATGATTTGTTAATGATTATTAGTACAAAATCTAGGTCATTGTAGGATTTCCTGCTGACTAACTACTATCAACCGCCTTACACACTCGAAGTCCATCTGTAATGAAAATTATAAAAAACGAGTTAATCTCCACAAGCAAACAAATAGAAAGTAGGAGAGTTGAACAGTTTACTTAATCATTCTACAGATTGACTGGTCATAATGTGTAAACACGTATATAATAATACTACTATCACTAGTACTTTTGAATTAATGGCCTGAAAACTTACTTCTTTAGCTAAAAGTAATCGAAATCGGGCGATTAAACTTTCACCAAATAAGTAATAATTTGATGTAAACAAAAAATACCACGATAATAATCGAAACCAAGGTAAATCATGCGATCGATAAACCAAATAACCAATATTGATAATTTCATAGAAGCAAGCCAATTGAATAGCTAAAACCTATATTTATGTAGAAAAATAAATTAAAGCTAAGTATAGTATAATAACAGAATTTGTTAAATTTGTTGTACAAAACAATTGGAATATTTAATTTACAAACACTAAATATTGTGGATTTGAACCTTATCGGGAAACTACTAATTTGAACATCTAAACAATAGTTGTATCATAATGAGCCATTCAAGATGGTCACGAGTGTTGTTAGAAGTATAGGAATGGTTGCTACTTGCCCGCTACATTTACTACGTAAGGTAATTTCATCTTAAGAGACTTGAAATCTAAAGTAGGTTAGGGTTAGAAGTTAGTCTCAAGGATCTGGGAGTGCGATCATAGAGCTGAAGGAACAATTGCTTAAGGTGAGTCACACATAAACGGTCCTCATGTGAGTAGTTTTTGATCTGTTAGTTCTGTGCTTTACAGACATTACAACTACTGACAGAAATCTATTGAGTTGATGCTGGTTGTATTAGGGAAATACTTTACTGTTGTCGCATCACTGTACAGCCGGGATTACGACATAAACCTTGAAATGTACGTTTACTGCACAGTAACCAACCTGGTTAATATGGTAAGACCTAGAAGAACAAGTTCTAGATAATATACCTTGATAAGATCATTATGATATCTAAGCAACTACAGTCAGATCATAATGGAATGTTTTTTTATTGGCGAACACTAAATTTGATATAGAAAAACCAAGCTGATCTTAACTGATTAAATCACTGAATAATACTTTTCCTATGATAAAAATGTAACATCTATCATTTGCAAACCCATGTTTGCATTTATATTATCTTTTGAGCTTATCTGCTTATGTCTATTATAATATTAATCATGAATAACAATTTTAAATTTCCCAATATTGAAATAATCAACATATCAAATTACTAGTTTTGGTGGATAGAAATTTCATAGAACTTAAACATTGAAGCAAGATCTAATGATGTCTGTCGTGTACTCTATGTACTACCATAATGTAAGAACAAGTCAAGTTCAGATGGTATGTGTAATAATTTACAGAGAACACAGATTATTTATGAAATATATACACTTAGTCTTCAATCCTTCATTTGCATCTAATGTTTGTTCTGAAACACAAGCTGATTGTATATATATATATATATATATATATATATATATATATATATATATCTTCTCTTCCAGTCTCAAAAGTATTCCGAACTCGCCATGCTTTAGGTTTCCTGAGACTCCTATCTTCGGTTGTTGACTGTAGTAACTCTTATACGACGCTTCGCTGCATACTTATTAGAAGCAATCTTGTAAGTAGGGTCCATCACACTAATACTTATGATTAACAAAACCCACTACTGATTGTATAATACTAAATTAGATTGAAAAGGATGGATGAAATTTTGCCTCAATTTGCTACATAATCCTATGCAGATTGATTTCATTTAAATCCACATTGAAAACAATGATCACTTTCTAATCTGATTAGAATAGATAATGTAACCAAATTCAAACACATGAAAACAGAGACACAACAATAAACAATGGATACATCTACCATTTCATAGCCAATGTTTCTGTGATAAAATTAATCCGTCACATGATGCTATTAATAAAGCCTTATTTATTGAAATTTTTGTGTGTATCGAAGTTACAAAAGTAGAGATATTCACAAGTTATCTTTTCATATCATATCCGATAATTTTTGAAGAAGAGGGGAAGAGCATAAACTTGTACACAAATGAGATAGTAATAAATAAAGAACTTCTTGAGATATGAATTCAGTAGGTCCTAAACAGTGTAGAAACGGCACGTTTGTGCACCGGTTCAAAAGCTACATTGTATCGGCACAGAGAGATAAAATTATTATGATACATACCAGAGTAATTTATATAGTAGTAACAGTGTACCAATGGTAATAGAAAATATTAGGCATATACCAGAGAGAAACAGATGTTTTCATGGAAAATAAAATATACAACAATGTTAAAACACAAGAGAGAGAGATAGCTGGCATGGTAGGACCTAAAGAAACAAGTGTTCTAACCAATATATTTCGACTGAATGATTACAATATGTAAGCCTGGCCACTAGCATAAAAGTAGCAACCATCGTTGGATGTATGATGGACCGTTTACAACCGGAAGACTCATTCAAAATTAAAAAGTACCAGATAGTTGTTCAACCATTGATAATAATAATTCTTCGAAGTTATGTATAACAATCGACTTTGTCAAGAGGCTTCAACTTAGGATGAAAGCAACTGCAGACTGTTTCCATGATAAATCAACTGAATCCATTTCATAAATAAAATTACTTTCAATTTAAACAATCCGTAAAAACTCTTTTTCGTAAAATATTAATTGTAGTGAAAATGAGGAAATAAGTGACGATAATTTAATATAACTAATTTTTATTCATCATCCCGCACACGGGACTCGAACCTAGGTCCTTAGGTTTCGTGAATGAACACTTAACTTCCAAACCGCTGAGCTGGTATCCAACAGACAATGGATGAAGGGTTGCGTAAGATCATGGATCGATTAAAGTTAGACATTAACACCGTTGGATGCCGACTCAGTGGTCTAAAAAACAAGCGTTCGCGCACGAGATCGAAGGCCTTGGGTCCGAGTCCCGCATACATGATCGTATATGTGCACTGTTGAGGAGTCCCATACTAAGACGAAACGGCCATCCAGTGCTTCCAGGTTCTAGCTTAGACCGAATCATGAATTCAACTATCGAAAAAAAATTACTACAATCTCCACAAATCCCCCTCATTCTGATAGTTCTTATTTATTTATTCCTATTTCATTATCGATGGTGACCTGCCTAGTTGTTTAAAAACTAAAAATGAATAGATCAAACAGGGATCAGATCACAAAATTCTATTATGTTAAAATTAATGTAGCCCCCTCCCCACATTGATAAAATAGTCTAACAGTAAGATAATAATTGATTGATTGAAGGATAATTGAACTAAAAACCGATTTCTTTCAATAATCCATAATATTTTATCAAATTTATTTTGTGCTCATAGTCATTCTAGTAAATAAAACAAAATATAACTACATATCTGGTTAGTAGTCTCTCATCTTTTATTTCGATTCATTTAGGGTGGATGAAAAGGGGAGCGCCTACAGTAATGTTACAGTGTTTTGAGTAATTATTATTTGATTACACTACACATTATATCATTGAGTTCATTCATTAACTAGTAATCTAATTATTATTTTTGACAGTTGAAATTTTCATCATATCAAATCATTTAAAACTTTCTCTATAACATACACATACAGCCATAGTAACAACTAATCCGCAGGGTAATTATTTAAGTACAAAATAATCGATCAAGCACAAGCAACCATTTGATTGATCCAAGTTGAATACAATACAAACTTATCTCATAATTTAATAAGCGAAAAAAGGTGGATTCATACTTGATAAAGCTCGTTTAAATTTATTACTATTATTATAACAAGAATAAATTCTAGTTTAGACAAGTGTGTAATAAAGGGATGAGTTCTAAAACAAAAACAACTGATACGAATTTTTAATTAATTCTTAACCAATCGATACGGTGATAAGGAAAAAAAATGGGACAACTACAAGTGTATAGTTTAAGTTATGGTAAATAATCATTTGTATCAGAAGGGGTTTTGTAAAGATTGTAGTAATTTCAAAGGTTGAGATCATGATTCAATTGCAGCTAGACCACCAGGGAAAACCTAGAAGAACTGGACGGCCGTTTCGTCCTATTGTAGGACTCCTACTCCCCCTGGTACGGCAAAGAGTAAAGAGAGTCAGCTCTCCCACTGGAAATGCTCTCACATGGCCGCGTGCATACAACCACTGTCAGGGAAGTCCTACTCACTGCCTTCTCGCACCACGGGTGTTGTTTACAAAATTGAGAGGACGAAAAGCGAATGTCCAGCGCTTTAACTGGGTTGGTGGACATAGAGAGTCCACCGAGGGTAATTGAAAATCCCTGATTCCAAATCAATGGTGCACATAGGCTCCAGTATCCTGAGGTAACAAATGGTGTATGAATCAATTATTGGTGACCGGCTACCATGGGACTGCATCTCCTTACGTCACTCCACTGCCTTATGGATCAGACCTTTAGGTCAAAGGCTCCAGGTGTGGCTTCCTAAGATAACCACCTGCTTCGGTCTGGGCACCCGGGTAGTATCACAGCCCACATACAAATGATGAACTGCCTATAACTATGGAAACTACTTTACTAGCTTCAACTAACAATCAAATGATTATTATTATTACGATCATTGTTATAATAATAATTATTATTTACCACATTATTTATCCTCTTTTATTCCTACTCTGTCTATACTTATTTTTTCGACTTATACAGTAGCTCGTCCTTGGTGGAAATTCGACTGTATCTAAATGTTCTCGAGTCACTGTCCAGTCGAAAATTGTGTGTTACCACCGAATATGAGTACTGAAGCAGTTTTTCTAAAACCACGTGCACCATTCAAACTGGCTGCCTTCAACGTTCGCACACTTATGCAGGTTGGACAACAGATAGGGCTGGCTATGTCTTTAGAAAGTCTTAATATCAATGTCTGCTGTCTATCTGAGACCCGTATTCAAGACTCTAGTGAAGTACTACAAATTCGCTCTCCATCTGTCACTTCAAAAAGCTTGTTTTACGTGCGCTTATCCGGGGACCCTGTGGCATCTTCGTCTGGTCTTGCTGGCGTTGGTGTCGCACTAACTGTATAATTATTACGTAGTCAGATTGTGATATATTTATATTCCTTTTATCGTGAGTCTTTGATTAACCCATTAACTACTATTCTATGATCTGCTGTTCTTCATTAGTAGCTAGTTTATTATTCACAGTCTCCCTTACAGCCACTTTTTGTCTTGATCATGTATAATTGTCATTTTTCATTTTATGGTGTGATGTGGTCAGGTCTGTTTGTGTGTAAACTATGTATGTGTGAAATATAATATTCTTCTAGTGGAGACTAATTGCTATTATCTGGACTTAATAATCAGGAAGAGAAGCCACCAGACCAAGTGCCACTATGGACTTAGCACTGAATAAAAGCTACTAGTGACGGTCGTCATGTCATTGGTCAGATCAGATACGAAGTTATAGAAATTGATATTCTGATTGGTGGTTTTATCATGTGATATTAGTGGGCGGCCATAAGTCAGAACAGTCTGTAAATTTCTTCCCAAAAAAACCAACGACATATAAAGTTGTCCTCGTAAGAATAGATTATCTATCTTTTTGAAATTTTATCAGGATCCAAACAGAGTTTTGAGAATCCTCATATTATTTATGGTTAGGTTTAGAGTTTTAATCACAAACTGACATTAGCTAAAATGTTAAAAATTTCTGACTGGGGGTAAATATTGTCAAGTCATTTAAGTGTATCATAGTAATTACGGTCATGTTTCTATTTATTTATTCACTTAATCGTAGATATTTTGGAGGTTTGTTTTTTACTGGGTTGTAATTTTTTTACCATTATGACTGACTATACTACACTTAACATGTCTGTAGCATGATGAAGTGGTATTTTCGTCGTAGAAAGCTACATTTTTCATGACTTTATAAATAAACTCTTAATGAATACCATGAGTAGTGGAAGGTTTGAGGATTCTTTTATTTTCGGCACTTGTGGTTTGAACGAAGTAAATGAAGAAGGGGTTGCTAGGTGCTAAGTCAACATTGCGAACAAGAGTAGAGCTTATCTCGAGTCAAAATTCTCTGTACCCGTATGGATGAATGAATTCCGAGAAAACATTAAAGAGATTTGACGTGATTATCTTGTCTAGAAGACTACATGATAAATCTAGAAAACGATTTATTATACTCCGTTTACATTGATTAAGCAATTACCAAATTAGTTACTGATTTCAGCTTGTTTTCGAAAAACTTCTAGGATCTCAAGGTTACACATGATTCCATATATATCCTTTTACAGTGAATCTTCTTCCTTACTTCCTGTCTTAAGCTTTATTTTGGCCTCAAGATTGAAAGACTTTCATGAACCGGGAGGCAGTTAGAAAGCTGATAATTAAGAATTCAAGAACAAGACATATCCAAAGATAAATCTGGATTAATCAATTATTTAAGCATTGATAAGTTAACAGTTGAAACACTTGGCAACCAACTAGTAGGCTGGCAACTGAAGGCGGCCTGCTTGAATATCTGGGCTACCTGTTTCATCCGATCTAGATATTTCATCAAGTTATCTGTTTTGTTGTTTGTTTTAGCACATTATTATGTCTATTGTGCTCACAATCTATTCAGGCGCGTTTATAAAAAGTTTACAACCTTTCGCTATACGGGATACAAAAAAATACAATCAGCGACATCATGGTGGCCGGCAATATGCATTGAAACGAATGAACATTAATCAAATTTGGATTACCGAACTCCTAACATCTAACTGGTCATCATTCAAAATTTATTGTCACAATCGATCAAGGTATAAGAAAAGGAAACTTGATGAAATACTTTATGTTGAGAATTCTATGTTGTACTAAAAATACAATGTTGAATAAAGCTGATAATAATAATAATAATAATAATAATAATAATAATAATAATAATAATAATAATAATCATAATAATAATAATAATCATAATAATAATAATAATAATAATAATAATAATAATAATTCAACTATTTCGGCTTGGACAACCGATTATCAGTATTACTAGTTCTTACACAGTGTAAAAACCTTTACGTATTTGGGCAGCATCATTGATGAACACGGTGGATCTGATGCAGATGTGAAGGCGCGGATCGGTAAAGCAAGAGCAGCATATTTACAACTGAGGAACATCTGGAACTCAAAACAACTGTCAACCAACACCAAGGTCAGGATTTTTAATACAAACGTCGAAACAGTTATACTGTATAGAGTGGAAACTTGGAGAACTACGAAAGCCATCATCCACAAGATACAAGTGTTTATTAACAGCTGTCTACGCAAAATACTTCGCATCCGTTGGCCAGACACTATCAGCAACAACCTACTGTGGGAGAGAACAAACAAGATCCCAGCGGAGGAAGAAATCAGAATGAAGCACTGGAAGTGGATAGGACACACATTGAGAAAAGCACCGAACTGCGTCACAAGGCAAACCCTCACATGGAATCCTCAAGGACGAAGGAGGAGAGAAATACGAAAGAACACATTACGCCGAGAAATGGAGATAGACATGAGAAAAACGAACAAGAATTGGATGGAACTATAAAAGAAGGCCCAGGACAGAGTGGGTTGGAGAATGCTGGTCAGTGGCCTATGCTCCATAGGGAGTAACAGGCGTAAGTAAGTAGGTTCTTAAACAGACAAACAATGTTACTAAAAGCCAAGTACATACATTTAAAATCGGCCAACGAAAAAAGAGAATTGATTAGTCAGTGAATCAAATGCAACCTGACACATGTGCATCGGTTCAAGTTCCTATACCACATTAGTACAGCGACATAAAATTATTTTTAAGACAAATTCCAGAATAGTAGGAATAGTAAAAGTATCAGCATTGGTAGAAAAGACTAGGTATAGAAAGAATAAAAATATATAAAGAGATTTCGCAACCGAGGTTCTAAGGGAAGATAAAGAACGATGTTTAGCCATGTCATTTAAAGTCTCTGATCATCTGTTGCGATAATCAACGTAGACCCTAACCAGGTAGTCTGCACACCCATTAACATAGCTCAGTTCATGAACTAGTGAATTCAGGGACTAGTACAACATTTTGGTTTAGCTATCTCCATCTTTAATTCAATAGTTTAATGTTGGTTTAATGGTTAAGGCGTTCGACTTTCAATCACTATGTTTCGGACTCAAACTCTGCTCTATCTACTTGACTTTTGGCAACCAAATAGCACCATTAACATTCATACTCATGTACTTGGTTTATACATTTATTATTTGGAATTCACCTACTTGGATAAAAAAAATCCATCGCTTGTTGCAATGATAGTTTCCTCATGGACTTAATTAAGACAAAATCAACGATAAGTAATTAGTTGCTAATGCTAAGAAATTGACAAACTCTGATCAATCGTTTAGTGGTAACAGAAAAATAAATAAATAACTTATCATATACAACACTTACCATAAGTACTAATGCCAATGGACCCAAGTAAATAAGAAGTGTAAATCCTGAAATTAATAGTAGGCCTGTAAATAATCGTACAGTCCAATTAACCCAACGTGGTGGAAGAAATTTATTTAAGAAATCAATTATTGGCGGTACATGACTTGTACCTTGATGTAGTTTTTCAGCGGCTTCAAAATCTGGTCTAATTGGATCAATTGGTTCGTCATCGTCATCATCATCGCTTGTTTGTTTCTTAGCGTTTAATACATCATCTTGTGTATCGATATTGATAGTATTAGAAGTAGTCGAAGAAGCAGTAATAGTAGTTGGTTCTACAACATCCCCCTGATGAAGAATGGGGAAAAAACAGAGAAACGGAGAAAATGACTAAATCACAGCCCTTTAATATTACTTCCAGTTACAGACTATACTGTTAAGGTAATGAAAACTTTACTAAAGAGCAAGGTTAATTAGTTTTATCATAACTGATGTCGAGCCTATCATAAATGTGCGTTGATACAAGTTACCATACAACGTGATAGAACGATGAGATAAAGTCAATAAGATGAATTGCGAAAGGATCCAAATAATTACAATAATTAAGCATTGAAAGTATAACTTGAAAAGACATAATGAAAAGCTATGAACAAAGAAATACTGAAACTCAAGATTTGAGGAAGGATGAGTGAGCTACTGTGACTGATTCCGAGCTATGTCAATCAATGATTACGAATATCACATGGAACCCAACCAATTAGTTTGTATCAATCGACAAGGTTCAGACCAACAGTCAGTGACTTAATGGACCGAAGTTACGTTTCGAATATATTTAAGAAAGGACGAATTCAAAATATCATTATTAATTAATAACCTATTTCATGCAAACATCTACAAATCTTTATTATTTCAAAGACTTTAATGTATGAAGCTTATAGTAACCTTATACGCTTTGAACAATGGCCAGAAATTTAACAGACAGTTGTGATTTCTTACTCCAAACACTAATAAACGTTTTTTCAAACAACTTTCATTTAAATCAACATAACAAGTCAGAGCAAGATGTGAGGTGGGAAATGAATCACATAACGACTAAATTGAGTCGTTTGCTCCAGGTTAGTAATACTGCTATAAAAGTACTTATATATCTTCAAAAACATGTTCAAGTTTGCTTACTTGGTGATTCTACTGTATGACAATAATTTTTGGAAGACAGTTATCACTAAGTACGAAATGTAGAGTCTGATGTTAGGTTTCAGTCTATTAGGCTGAGTAATTTGTGACTTCAAAATTATTGTATTTAAGAAAATACAGAAGATACAAGTATGAGAAGGATTGCCACTAAGTGAAGGACCTAAAAGAGGAACTGATACAGGTGTTGTTCTGACCATCTGGAAGTGTGACATTAGAACTAAAGGAAAAACTGCTTGGAATCGGTCATACACGGCCTTTACACAAGTACTTGGCACGTTAGTTCTGCACTTTAAAGAACTTACTACTGGCAACGAAAATCCACGAGGCAAGATGAGGTGTGCTATTTTGAAGAACAACCTTCGGCTGTGGAGAGACATTATCTGTGCGAATGCTAGTTGCACAAGCAGGACACCTTACACCCGCCATAATACCATACAGTTAGGAGTACAACTTTGCTCTCAGAAGTCAGGTTTGAGACTTTTAGTCGTACCGCTCAGCAATCAGTCTAACTGCCACGGTAGGACCTAGAAAAACGAGTGCTTCAGTCAGTGCAGCATGACTAAGCAATAGTGACAGACAGTCCCAAGCATCACGTCAAGGCTGCAGCAACAGTTGGGATGTAATTATTTAGGAATACTCATCATGAACTAATAATGTTAATCTTGTAATAGGCTTCAAAACAAATCGATAGATGTACGACACCAGATGATATGGCCAATATTTCTATAAATAATTCGTTACATTTAGATTGTCAATGTGAACGATTAATGGTGTGAAGAGGTTGATATAAGTGGCAAGTAACATTGTCTTTAGGCAAACTCCTAATGAAAAAACCGTGTTTTTTATTTTGCACAATCAGATGACATTCGAATTATCGAAAATTCCCATGACAGAAGCAGCTCAAACATTCGCTGGATATGATGACGGTGACCATTAGAAAAAACTCCAGTAAACTAAGATAATTTAGGGAAGAAACTTTCTTTTTCGACAATGTTACTTACTATAGCTATGAATTCATATTTCTAGTTAACTTGCAAACACACGCCTATAATAGAATAGGTAGATATTGGATCATTTAAACGTGACCACAAGTGCCTTCAAGTATCAGAAACGATTTTGTATTGGTCTAAGGGGTACTTCGGAGCGACAAAATGGAAAGTATCCTGTATTTCTAGTAGGAGAAAAGGTAATGATTAAAACTAAATCATTTTTGACACTTAGTACAATCTATACTAATTTAAGAACAGGATTTCATGTACAATTATGATCATATAGTCAGTCAGTAACAACGTAGAACATCGTACGTACGTACATCAGTTCGAGTTGCCACACCACATTAGCACAGAGATGCAGTGGTCGATTCAAATCCCGTAGTGCTGGATGTAGTAAAATTATAAGCTGTAGTCAGAAAATGTTATAATCCAGTGAAATAAATTTGGAAAGAGAAAAAAAGAAAGGGACATGAAGAATTCAGAAGATTAGAATTTGGGAGAACACAAAGAGTGGATGCACCTGAGTCATTGCAAACGATTTTAAGCCATGTCATTCAGGGTCTCTAACCATCGGTTGCCGTCATCTCGCGGTCCCCAACCAGGTAGTCTACACCTACCAATATGACTCAGTCCACTTGTCAGTGACTTCATGGACTTGTGCCATATTTTGGTCTGGCCGCCCCTAGCTTTCTTCCAATCTACTCCTATACCACTGAACATAGCACGTCGAGGCAGTCGGTCGTTGGGCATACGTAACACGTGTCCCAACCATCTCAACTGATGAAGTTTCACTACTTCATCAATTGATTTGCCATCCTTACCTAGTACCCGTTCCCTAACAACTGTGTTACTTACTCGATGGTCCCATGATATACGAGCAATGTTTCGAAGACACCTATGATCAAATACTAGTAGCCTACGGATATCCTCTACTCTTATCAGCCATGTTTCACTGCCATAAAGTAGGACGGAACGAACTGCTGCACAGTAAACTCGTCCTTTGGTTGATAGACGGATATCTCGCCTACGCCATAAATGACGCAAGTTGGCAAAAGCTAGTCGAGCCTTCTGTATCCGTGCTGAGATTTCGTCACACACCAGACCACAAGGGCTGATGAGACTTCCAAGATAAGTGAAGCGGTCGACACACTCAACTACTTCACTCCCTATCACTAGTTCGGGTGTCGATGTAACCCAATCCTGAAGCAACATTTTGCATTTCGAGGGGGAGAATCGCATCCCGGAACATGCTTGCATTGTTTCTTAGAGTGGTCAAAAGACTCTGCATTTTGTCAGCGCCTTCACCAAATAGAACTATGTCATCGGCATATTCCAAGACAATTAGTGACAATAGTTTATTATGCTTGATCTAAAAAATATGGGACAAAAATGGCTTATTTTTTGTTTATTTTTTTGCACACATAAACATTGGTACAAGGGGGCACCAAATAGATATGCATCACACAATAAAAGTGAGGCCAGTAGCAATTATCACTGATTTGTGTGAGGGCTGTGATACTGCCCGGGTGCTCAGACCGAAACAGGTGGTTTTCCTGGGAGTCCACACCCGGAGCCTTTGGCCTGACGGTCCGATTTACAAGGCAAAGGAGCAACATAAGGAGATAGTCCGGTGGTAGCCGGTGACTAATAATAGGTTCATACGCCATTCGTCCCCTCAAGAACCTGGAGCCCATGAGCATCATTGGTTTGGATAATAAGAAACCCATATTCAATATAGTAATTCAACAATCTTATACACTAAACTCCGTAATGTTACAGAGACCAAAGAGAATAGCCCACAAACCTGAGTATATCAGGAAATGTCTGACCTAAACACGTACTTAGCATAAAGTTACCTAGATGGTTAACTTTAATGCATAGAATAGATAGTAATGAACATTAGTCTTGATCCCTCGCACTATTTCACAGACAATAATAAAATCTAGTAAACTTTATGGGCAAAAGTACATCGTACAGTAAGTTTATATGTTTACGAAGTTGTAAATATATCGCTAATACTCATATCCAGATGGAACTTACTGTTCTTTGTCGTACAACTTGATCGTCGTCACTCATTTTATAACCAGAAATGTATCAGTAACAACGGTTAAAATCCGAATTGGGAGTGGTACCCAAACAGAATAATATATGCTGCAAATAGCTGTGAGAAAGGATCTGAAAAAGTAATGGAAATATCTTAAAGAGCATAAAACAATCAAGAACATCAGTGGAATGAAAAATTAAATGAAAATGTTTGCATCCATTAATACAATTTTTTATCCTATTTGAAAATGGTATACCCCAGAAATCACAAAAGAACAATCTCTACTAAAGGTAAAAGTTTAAAATAAGCTATCAAGTTGTACAGTCAGTTATATTGAAAGTAGAAACTAGGACAAATGTGAGTTGACTCAGGTTATTATATCACATTAACGCGAGATGGAAATAACACGAGCTATAAACTTTGTGGCAATAATGAAAACCAAGAATTAGTCTTGAGGGCATAGTTTAAAAAGATAGAGTAGAAACGTAAGTATGACAGGATAATGAAACTCAAGGTCGATAAAGATAAAGAGTAAATGCATGGGACGAATTTAAGCAGTGTTAAGCAGTCTCTAACTAACTATTATTAAGCCTAATTCTATGGTGTTTAACATACTTCTGAACTAAGACTAATCGCATTAATCATATCGGTCTTAGTTATCATCGGTAGTTAAGGCGCAACAAATTGATGACATAATCTTGATATGGCTTGAAGTATGAACGAGTAATTGTGGAAGACACTGAATTTGTCACCATGCAGAGTTGATTAAAAGGACTTACAGAAATACCATAACAATGAAAATATGCACCCATGTAGTAATTTTCACACACTTATTCAGTACTGAGGAATGCCAAAAGCTGACTAAATTGACATACTGTTTTAAATAAAAGCAATCTCAAGCTGTATTCCGTTTAACTACCTACCTGAGATATATAACCAGATAAAAAACAACATGCACAGATCGAACTGACATACTAATGTAAAATAACTTAAACCGACCAACAACAAGCTTGTAATAACGATGTGAGCGACAGAAAAATTGGTGAATGGTGATATTAAGTAGTCGAGAGTTGTATATTTTATTTTGACCTCATAATGATTTAAGACAAGTTATTTTCGTTTGATGCAAGATGATTTTAAAGTATTGCTATAGTACTTGACATTCAAATATTAAATGTTTTAACTTTGGCCAGAACTGTAGCAAATGGAAACTAACTGCGCTTACCAGTATTAAAACATAGGCTCAACTACTTATTTCTCTGACGGCTGTCTCACAAACCTACACTAACATTTAAATACATTGAGAACCTAACAACAAACGTCAAGGTCAGCAAGAAAAAAATGATTAAAACGCCAATACCAGTTATATATTGAAACAACTCCTAACGTCATGTTACTTACACATAGATGTTATCCCACCATTACTCTATTAAACTCGAAATATGTAATTGCGTTTCCTTCATTATGTAGGCGATTTTTATCTGAAAGTAAAGCTCCACAAACAGTTCTTGGGATACCGATGGTCACAACCACAGATACAAAAAGAAGAGTGGCAAAAGTGGTCAGCAACAACAACCCGTAGAAAAATCCTTCTTAAAAAACTCCAACTGAAATGAAAAATAAGCACTTTATACACTACGTTCCGTGTTCAAGGGTCTTCATTCAGAAGAATCATGAAACCTCATGGTGAGAGCGGATATTCTTTAGAAGTCATGAGACAAATGTCCGTTCAAACAATCACAACAACAATTATTATGCATACATGGAACGTTCGCACAATGTGGGAGACTAGGAGGACCAGTCAAATAATTACAGTAATAAGAAAACACAATATGAAGATGCTCAGAATATATGAAATCCATTCAACAGAAGCTTTTAGGGTCCTTTTGGTCAGTCTTCGTTTAGAGCGTACGAATGTTTGCTATCGCTGATTCTCGTTTATCATCGTCGACTTAAATCGCGTTAGCCAATAACGGAATTAAATAAGTCGAATAACGAGAATTGACTTGAGAATACATATATTTCGTACATGAAGCGAATGAAGCACAGCAAAGCAAAAATGACACGTATGGAAGATGGCTGGGAAGCCAACTCCATTTTAGTCAAGTGTTATTCCATATTTATAGGCAGACAAAATAAGCTACAGACAAACAATGAATCATGTGACATGAAATGTACACTCATATACGCTCATATAAAAAAAACAGTCAAGACTGACAAGCGAATAATTGACAAGGTCAAAATATGGCTCAAGTAAAATGAATAAAATAGGATGTCCGGAAGTTAGAATAAGGTACATGGGCTTGCCATAATAACTGACACTACATAGCCCCCTCGTAGAAAATAGCACATTTTAAAAAAATGGCTGTTTTCGAAAATAACAGTGAAGTGGTGCGTAGTTACGCACGTGGAAGAATAGATAAAATGAACGTAATGGTTACTAATCAGCTAGTTAGAGGCATCCACATACATAATAGGAGGCGACTTCGAAATGAAAAATGTATGTTGTGATAACATAAATTGCCGACCTCGACTAAGTGAATGAATGTAATATTAGATCAAAATGACATGAAAAATTGGAACGAACTCACTTAAAGGAGGAAAATTTCACGTTTTTGAATAGTAAAAATATCCCAAAGAGTTCTCACAAAGTTAAGTGGAATTTTCATAAAATGATAATTTGTTCGGTGAGTAATATGATTGTGAAAATGTCAATTTAGTGACAGCACGAACAAGATTAATAATTCCACATTCGGTCATCATATTGGCAATAATGTAATAATAAGCATATAATGATAATTTGAATCGTAATGGAACAATCCGACAAATGGATCAATGAGAATGGTTGACATGAGGACAAAGTATCAATAAGATAATACGACTTGAGCATGTCCATGCCATGATGCACAGGCTTTGCTGATTGCGTCGGATTAGAGATTGAGCTGGACCCATTGAGTGCGTTCGTCGAATGTATCAAGTGCAGAAATCTCTTCATCGACGTAGCTTGCTGCGTTGCGTTCGTCGTCGGCGGGCTTACCACTTTTAGAGTCCTTTTGGTCAGTCTTCGTTTAGAGCGTACGAATGTTTGCTATCGCTGATTCTCGTTTATCATCGTCGACTTAAATCGCGTTAGCCAATAACGGAATTAAATAAGTCGAATAACGAGAATTGACTTGAGAATACATATATTTCGTACATGAAGCGAATGAAGCACAGCAAAGCAAAATGACACGTATGGAAGATGGCTGGGAAGCCAACTCCATTTTAGTCAAGTGTTATTCCATATTTATAGGCAGACAAAATAAGCTACAGACAAACAATGAATCATGTGACATGAAATGTACACTCATATACGCTCATATAAAAAAAACAGTCAAGACTGACAAGCGAATAATTGACAAGGTCAAAATATGGCTCAAGTAAAATGAATAAAATAGGATGTCCGGAAGTTAGAATAAGGTACATGGGCTTGCCATAATAACTGACACTACATAGCCCCCTCGTAGAAAATAGCACATTTTAAAAAAATGGCTGTTTTCGAAAATAACAGTGAAGTGGTGCGTAGTTACGCACGTGGAAGAATAGATAAAATGAACGTAATGGTTACTAATCAGCTAGTTAGAGGCATCCACATACATAATAGGAGGCGACTTCGAAATGAAAAATGTATGTTGTGATAACATAAATTGCCGACCTCGACTAAGTGAATGAATGTAATATTAGATCAAAATGACATGAAAAATTGGAACGAACTCACTTAAAGGAGGAAAATTTCACGTTTTTGAATAGTAAAAATATCCCAAAGAGTTCTCACAAAGTTAAGTGGAATTTTCATAAAATGATAATTTGTTCGGTGAGTAATATGATTGTGAAAATGTCAATTTAGTGACAGCACGAACAAGATTAATAATTCCACATTCGGTCATCATATTGGCAATAATGTAATAATAAGCATATAATGATAATTTGAATCGTAATGGAACAATCCGACAAATGGATCAATGAGAATGGTTGACATGAGGACAAAGTATCAATAAGATAATACGACTTGAGCATGTCCATGCCATGATGCACAGGCTTTGCTGATTGCGTCGGATTAGAGATTGAGCTGGACCCATTGAGTGCGTTCGTCGAATGTATCAAGTGCAGAAATCTCTTCATCGACGTAGCTTGCTGCGTTGCGTTCGTCGTCGGCGGGCTTACCACTTTTAGAGTCCTTTTGGTCAGTCTTCGTTTAGAGCGTACGAATGTTTGCTATCGCTGATTCTCGTTTATCATCGTCGACTTAAATCGCGTTAGCCAATAACGGAATTAAATAAGTCGAATAACGAGAATTGACTTGAGAATACATATATTTCGTACATGAAGCGAATGAAGCACAGCAAAGCAAAAATGACACGTATGGAAGATGGCTGGGAAGCCAACTCCATTTTAGTCAAGTGTTATTCCATATTTATAGGCAGACAAAATAAGCTACAGACAAACAATGAATCATGTGACATGAAATGTACACTCATATACGCTCATATAAAAAAAACAGTCAAGACTGACAAGCGAATAATTGACAAGGTCAAAATATGGCTCAAGTAAAATGAATAAAATAGGATGTCCGGAAGTTAGAATAAGGTACATGGGCTTGCCATAATAACTGACACTACAAGCTCGATTGGAACGGTTAGGTTTGGGAGAGATGTTGTTGTATTCTGGTCATGAAAAAAAGAATGCTTACACGCGAAGTGAGAGTTGCACTGGTTTTGTTCAAAGAAACACGAAGAAATCTTGTAGCATGGGAATCTCAAGCGAGGAGCTGACATAGCTTCAGATCCGATGGTTAACCAGATGAAATCGGTGATAAGTAACCACTGGACAACCGAGGAAACAGTAGCACAAAATGCTTAATACAATCTTTCTTCGAGATGCTGACAAACTCAACGAATTCAGGTTAACTTTCAAAAATAGGCTTCAAGACTTTCAGGATCTAATGAAGTAAGAAGAAAATAAATGTGGGACAACGGAAAACAGGTTGAAGAAACACTAACTTCAACGTGTAAGCAGCTGCTGGTTCGCAGAAGCATGATCATAAGGAATGAATCTCTATGGGAAACATGGTCAAGATTAAAGAAAAGAAGAACGGAATGATAGTAACTAGCAATAGTTTGTAGCGTGGTGTCGAGTTGAGGTTAACTATGAACACCGTTACAAAGAAACACGTGCCAAGTAAATCAGAAGGCGTAGGTTGAACGTAACCAAATAGATCCATAAGATCCCCGAGAAGCCAAATATCAGAAGGCAGTTTATAGACCAAATCGAGATATATTAGCTGGCGATCTTGTGGCATCGAAAGGATACCGAGATCGTGCCAGGATACAAACTTGGTTACAGAACGTAACCGAATTCGCGCGAAGTTACAATCAAAAGTGTGTGTATTAGAATGGAGCAAAATATAGCTGTCATTAGCACAGTCAAACAAAAGCACATTAAAACAAGCACTGGTACAGTTGGTTATAATAATAATTGTTTTTATTATACCAGTCGTGTTCTCGTGATAAATGTGAGTCACTACAAGTTGAACAAGAGCAGAAGAAGTCAAGACCCATGCAGAATACACTGAAGCAAACAAACAAGTGAAGAGGAGCATTAGAGTTAACAAGTAGAAATATGGGGAAGACCTAGCGATCACAGTACAAAAACAAGAAACAGAAGGAAATATCAGACAACCATATAACACAACGAACAAACTAGTATGGAAATATAGTAAACCAGAAATGCCAGTAAACGAGAAAGGAGGAAAACCAATCAATGAGGTTCAAGAAATGAAGAACAGAAATGCAGATCACTTTGAAGAACACTTGAATACACAATCAACATAGAAGTAGCACGCATACCATCTCATTGCTGCTCTCGCCAACATTCAATGAAATCAGGATGGCCATCAGACAAATGAAGAGTAGGAGAGCAGTAGGTTCTTACAATGTACCAGGTCGAGCACTGAAGTCAGATGTGGAAGTAACTGAAAACATGCTCCACATTCCATTCAACAGGACATGGAGGGAGAATAAATGCCGACACACTGGAGAGAAGGACACCTCATCAAGATACGGTAGAAAGGAGATCTGAACAAGTGTGAGGACTCAGCTGCAGAGGCATCGCACTACTACCAATACTAGGAATAGTTTTCAACAGATTGTTGCTGAACCGAATGAAAGATTCATTACACAACCACTGTCAAGATCAAGAGGCCGCATGCTGTATGAATCGGTCGTGCGAAGAACGAATCGCAACACTATGGATCGTCTTTGAATGGAACTCGCCATCATGCATCAACTTTTTAGTACTCCGTACCATTTAACCTAA